TTTCCACACTATATCGGCTATGTATTCATGGAGAAGCGTGTGTATCGCGGATCCATCGGTACCCATAGTAACCACGGGCACCATTAATATAGTCTGACGTCATCGCGAAGAAATGCATCGGTACGCCGCCGCGTAAATCTTGCGAAATCGTCGACTGCCTCGCGGCCATTTGATTTTCGATCAAAGTCCCGGGCGTTTCCAGCAAATTTCACGCCGGTGTTCTATATTTAACCGTTTATAACTATTCCAAACTCGCGGGAAAACCTATTCCCCGATGAGATGCCGAATCGACACGAACGGAGCGCCGAGAGTCAACGTTCGGGGCACGAACGATCTCTAGCGGCCCCCGAAGCTGTTTACTGACACATAACCTCGAATTTCGAATGTTGCGATCCTCCATCTACTATGCGACGCAGCAACAACGCGAGAATTAGTATTTCCCTTCAATGTTAAACTTCGAAAAAACCAATCCCACGACAAATTTTTATAGAAATAAATTTATCATAAAAAATTTCGAATTGACTGAAAATTCCTGAGATTTTTTTTCGTAAAAAATAATCTCTCTCCTATCATTTGGCCAGCTCCAACTTGCACGCTCCTTAATCGATCAATGCACAGCTTTAGTTGCTCGATGCTCCTCCCCGCTCGACCCCCCGCCCCCACCGGCGGCTTTCAGCCGACCACTGTAACTTAATACGAGGTTTTGCACTCGATACAGGAATGATCAACTTCGAGGTAAATCGATCACGATACCATATAAACGGTCATCTTATATTCCCGCTAAAAAGACGAAACGGGAACAGAGGTACGAGTACTTGTAGAACGGCCAGTCGACAATGAGATATCTATGAGCTCGAGGCCGGGTCAACAAGTTACGCCCGATACCAAGATATTTTTGATCGAGTCGGCGATCATGGGATAATAAAGTTATCTTTCGATGACACAAATTTAAGGGTACGATGAAACAGGCTAGCCACCACTTTACAAGCAAGTTGCAGCAGCAGCAGCAGCAGCAGCAGCAGCAGCTCGACCGTGCGTACGCACTGACATCGTCCTATTGGACCATTCCCGATGACGTCAGTAGAAGCGACCAATGGTAATGGATACCGCAGGGACTGGATCAGCAACCCGTATAAATCCAAGTACCTCGGTCCTTTACCAGCGAGCTAATAAAACGGACAATGGTAAAACGATTTGACCCAGTTTCATGTGAAATCTACCGAAATTAACCAACCGTGTCCCTCCTCGCAAAAAAATAATTGCTGTGGGCCCGACAGAGTAAATGTACAGCTGCAGGCGGGTAAACATCGTTTGACATAATTTACTGAAAGAGTAGTACGCTCTTTTGGTGAGACAAATTGGGAGATAGTCGAAGGTTCTTGGATAGAGACTAATGACGAGATAATTCATTTTTCCTTAATTAAGAGGTTATGATCGTGGACCCCTGTTGGAAAGTTATCGAATCAACGATTAAAATGTATAATTCACGATCTACGTGAAATTGCACGTCAGTTTCGCATCATTGAATGAAGGAAAATTTAATCAGGAATGTTGGTTCTACGTCCTGGAAAAAACGGCACGCCTTTCGACCGTTTTCTTCTGGTTCCCCGTGGATCGACTGCGCATTTATGTGTGTGTCGCGCGTGCCCGTCACTCCGCGCAAACTTCCCTTGCGGTCGATACGATTTCACCTCGTGTCGGCAAATGCTACCAACCAGAGGCGTATCCGCCGACCACATTTCGAGTGTATGAACTTTTAAAGCAGTCGGAAGAGATCCCATCCAATTTCCTATTTTCTAGCCGACCGGGATAAGCGGTATAAATTGAATATCCTTAACCGCGGCTAAAATTGAGAACCACTTGCTTAAATACAATTTTTTAAACTGACGACAATATGCAGATAATAAATTATTCTATCATTTTATTGTTATATAGACAATGTTGTTTTCAGGATATTACAAATGTAAAATGATTTCAAATATCAACAATTAATCAAGCGATAGATCGTAAGTGATCTACAATTCTGATTTAGATATTCGTACCTTTTTCAATTCATTGAAAAATTGATTTCTTATGTTGGATTCGTGTGTGTATATGGGTCGATTGTATCGAGATAACAGGAATTAATCGATCGGCATTTGCAAAACGAAGAAAAAATACGTTGCGGCGCCACTGGTTACCGCCAACCACCCACGAGCCCCGTATCTGCACCTCCCCTCTCCTTTGGCCACCGTACAAGCAGTGAGATTTGACTTTATAACAAGCACTTCGAACGACTTTACATGGAAGTGGCTTGATCCGGCGAGCGACGGGTAACTACCGGACGTCCACTGAAAGATTTATCGATATTCAAAGATTGACGAACATTTATGAGCCTCGGAATCAAGTGTCGCGAATAAATCTAACGTTCGACACCATTCCCAAAGGAGCATCGAGCAACGTCGAATGAGAACCACTGGGGCATACGTATTTACATACATGTATGACTAAGCGGCCGCAAGCTACAGAGATAATCGAGCGGATAAATTAAAAGCGGGACATCCTGTACATGCGATACCATGAATTATTTAAATATCCAAGGTATCCTTAACATTAATACCGCGGTGGTAAATTAATTACACGTCTCGACAGCGACGCGTTACACTTTGACGGAGGACCAGATTTACCACAAGTTGGTCGAACTAGTCACTAACTGATCCGTGGGTAATGCGTGTGACGCAGCGAATTAACGCGGATCGATACGATTCGATCCAATGAAATCGCGCTTGCCGGGCGAACGCCCGATAATTAATCCTCGATTTACCGTGCATTCCTGCAACATTATCGTCGAGCGTAATTTGTAACACGATTTCTCATTGATTTCCCTGTAACGGCGCTGATAGTCTGACATAACGAGGTTATCTCCTTATCTAGATCAGATTTCGAGCAACAGCGCGTCAGAAATTCTTCGTTCCCGGATAACGGGAACCGGAAGTCTGGGGGTACCATTCAAAACTGAATTATTCGACTAATATTTTTTTTTCAGATGATTTTCGAAATAGTTCATTTTTTGCAATATCGAGTGTCTTAAGTCAATGATACTTTTTAGTTCATTCTCTATGAGAAACGATGAAAAGCACTATCGGAATAAGATACTCACGATTAAATAGGTTAGGAAACAGTTGAATTTTTTGAGATTATTATTTAACGATGGTCGGGCATTGAATTTTGTATTGGGGAGAATAACGAATACTGGCGAATACGAAAAACGAGCGTACACGCGAAGAATCGATAAATTCGGGATCTTCTGGATGCAGCGAGCTGCTCTCGTCCAATGTATAAGACATGCAGAGAGGAGAATTTAGCGTGACAGGAAAAAGGAACGCGCGGCGGTTTCGCGGAAGAGGGGGTGGCAAGAGAAAATAGGAGAGACACAAGTAGTATTGGAAGGGATCGCGAAAAGATCAAGAAAAAGGAGAACGAGAGGGGCTGACGAAAGTAAATGGAGGGGGGAAGACACGAAGAGAAAGAGAGCGAGAGAGATAACAAGAGCAAAAGAGCCAGCAATATGGCGGCTCGGGAAAGAAACCAGCGCCGCCTAGCAGATTTTTCTATTCCCGCCCGTAAAATTATTTTCAACGTACTTAAACTCTCTCCATTATTTTTGTAACAGATTTCCATGTATTCGTGCGTTTCAACGCACGTTTTGGTGCCTCTGGTTAGAGCAATGTCACATTCCACAATTTAAATAAATTCCTGTAAAACCTGCCACAAGAAAAAACAATATTAACCAAACATACTCTATTATTTTGTTAATATGTTGATTTTCAAATATTTTGAGGATTAATTTACGTTCAAAGAGACCTTGTATGTGATGTCTTTAAAGTTTTCTAAAATTTGAATTGTACGAGCTTTTCCTAAAAGATTAAAATTATCAATTGAATTACACTTCGATCAGTTTTTTAAAATATAGACTGTTTATAAGTTAATCGTAGATATATCAGCTCTTGTTAGAGGTACTTCAAAAGTATGTTTGGTATCTTACTCAAAACACCTAAGCTCTTATCAATATCTCTCATAGCCAATAGTTAAGATACTTTAATGGGAAACAGCAGTCGTAAAGATATCTAATAAACAATGTAGTCGTAAAATATAGTTATAGTCTTTGCTATATATGATGGCAAAATGAAGCGACTGTGGACATGGCCACATCTGTTCATAATTCATACATTGTAAACTTCCTGTGCAAACATTAATGTTCTAGTACATACGATACGTACTAGAACATTACATGCACAGAAATAAATAGAACTGGAAGTCACTTGTCCAAGTACAATGAATATAAATAAAAGTGACACAAGCTGTTCTATCGACACGTATGGAAATCTATTGACACCAGGGTCAACGAACAAGGAATGCCAAGAAAAGAAAAGAGAAACTGGTCAAGCTTAAGATAAAGAACATTTAAAGACAGACTGGAAGTTAACAACTATGTAAATTCTGCAGGTAAAGTGGTATGTGTATGATGTGGTTGACCTGTACTCACTCACCATTTTACCAGCCATTGTTGCCACCATTCGCACACGAAAATTGCACCAACAGATCTGTCTTCCAAACATTCGTTTTCGTTTCGAGAATCGTAACAACAACAACAACGATGAACTCAATTGAAAACGAAACCAATCTCAAACACCGAATGATCGATCATATTCGAAGCGGTCGAAAATTTTTTTTTTGGTTAAGTGAAACACGACACGAAGTCTCGCCGCGGTATTAATGTCAACGAGATCACTGAGACCGTCCCGAAATAACAATTAATGCCCATTTTCGATGACAATTCACCCAGAAAAACATAGGGTACGAGATCGTTTGAACGTCACAAACGATTCATAATATGAACAGAATGTTCTGTTGCAATTATGTTTCCAACGGTCGTTCGCGTGAGTTTTCATGGTTGTTAGACGAGATCACGATCCTCGAGCGTTTCGTTCGGTAAAATCCCGTGAAAATGCATTGCTTACCTTAATATGACAGGAATACAGAGGCTGACTTTAAACTTGGATGTAAACACAAGCATTTTTCAACGGAACTGACACCAGGGCAGCTTGAATAACGAACAGTAGAACACTCTTTACATCGCGGACAACGTTATTTCACTGTTCGAGATTTTCTTACGTGATTAAATACCGCGATAAATACGAGAATTCACGATCTCTTCGGAAAACATCCATCGAAAACTAAAGATGGCAGCCATTCTTCTGTACAAAACAAAGGTTCACATCCACGGACTCGCGAGCGATCAAGCCTCGAACCCAGATAGCTTCCGGCGCTGTTGTCGACCCGCCATTTTTGATTTTTCGAAAACGTTCACGCTCGTTCCACGCGAATTTCTTATTACGAGTGATTCTTTAAAGACAAATTCGCCTTCAGGGTCGCTGTAAATTATTCTCGAGCCTCATTATCGCGGAGAATGGCGACAGACTAATTTTATGCGTGATTAATTTGCGACGCATTAGTGTTCAGTTCTGCCGATAGTTGACGTGAAAGTCGACTTGTTAATTTTCGACGCCATCTGACTGGAAATATACGAATTAATTCTACGTTGCCAACTTCAAGGGAGGCGAACAAATGCATAATGTTCCACTGTTTCGCTTGACTTTGAAAAAAAGAAACAAGAAATAAAAGGATCTATGATCGATCATTGAAAAATGCGTTTTTCGATGGACTGATCGAATCCCGTTCGTTTTTACCGAATTTCATTGGATGTCGGTTGCATATTGGATAAGTTGACGATAGTCGATTGACATTTAAATAATTATCGACACCGGAACGTCATCGAGAAAGTTGGCAGTATTTGTCGCGCTCGTACGGTGCGAAACTTCTGCGATCACTGTTGCTCGGGTTATTGATTTCTAGCTGATATGCTTCATGAAAACAAAAATGTTTTGATTGGTGATCTGTGACTGTTGAACGACAGGTATACCGGTTTTGAAATTTGGAAATTCTTCTTTTAAACGGAAACACGCAATATTATTTAGGAAACTGATTGTAGGCGATGCGGCTCGAAAAAAAAGCGACAAAAAGATGAAGGAACTAAAGCTTTTTAACAGAATAATGTTTATAAGACGTATTTGATTTGTGAATTTGAAATTCTTTAATGTTTTATGTTATTCAATGTAACGATAGAAATATTGGACAAATTTTGTTGAAATCGTTTTGAGAACTGTGTTGTCACCAATATATGTAGTATGATCTTTCATGTATAGAAATGGCAGAAACTGATCCACAATTGAAACGACTTTTACTTCCGGCAGAAGAGACATTGTTTGAACAGTTACTAAGATTCGGCTTATATATTGGCGCAGTATTCCAAGTTATATGTTTATTGGCCATTGTTGTTTATCAGGCCGGTCCGTCTGATGGTATTGCTGCATTAAAGGTAATTAAATAGTTAATTATTATTATTATGTTGAAGATAACTTAAAGTACTGATGTAGCCATGCTAATTGTAGGATGACCCAAGTGATGTGGAATGTTCAGAAAACAGTCCTCAAGTTACTCCTAGAAGACCACATCGGCCACGAAAGCAAGAAAAAAAGAAAAGACGTTGAATTATCTTGCTTCCAGTATAAAAAGTCTATGACTTAATAATCTTTGCCTATGTGTCAAATAGACTGCCTTTAGATATTATTATTATTATTATCATTTGTGTAATGTATTCCATGAGTATTTATTAATCTATCAAAGACCATATGTGATCTGTATTTATACTTGACTTTTTATAACTATTTTCATTGAGATCATAAATATTGTTTGAATACTTCCATCATTCCAGAAATATTTTAAAAAATGTTCTTAATAGTACAAATATTAAATAAAAATTGTTCTTGTAAAATAATGTTCCTGTTTTATTTCATTTTTTTGTTATTACGTTACATTTATAATATATTATTTATATTAACAGACAATTAAAATTTTTTCTGATATGCAAGTAAAATGTAATGAAAAGTAGTGATGGTACTGTCTCAATGATGAAATGTCCACCTGATTAATACTGAGTATAGGCATAAGATTTTGGAAAATAGAAACAAAAATTACATACATTTTTAATAATTGTATAGAATTTATACTAATATGTCTACATAAAATTAGAATTCTGATTTTTAAGCTAGTGTTACACTTTAATATGAAACAAAAAAAGATAAAAAACTATAGACCAGAAGATACCATAAAAATATAATTATATGTAGTATAATCTATAAAATATACGTACATGTAAAGAAGTTATGAACTCTTATGAATCGATGAAAATTATATTTTTATAGTATTAGTTTCCATAAATATTATTTTCATGATTTAAATACACTTGTGTGCATTTTTCCTGCTAAATAATATGAACTTTTACTGTATAAATGAAGTGTATATAGAGGTCGAGATCTAAACAAAAAATCCCATGGCATTCAAAGTCTGTACAGATTCTAAGTTTATGTAGTAGTATGTTAGCAATATAAATAATACATTCATCGTTTCTTCTGCTTTTTTATTTATTGATTCATCATCGACTTTTACTCAGAAATTGATTATTTTATTAATTGAGTCTTTACTTCTGCTACGTTATCAGAACTATGCTGCCATCTACTCAAAACAAGTAAAATAACGCTTTGTGAAAGGTGTAAACGTTCAACACTACAGTTGTAAACATATTTTTTTCCTTACTTCTTTTAAACTTCTACATATCTGTGATATAAAAAAAAAAGTAACTGTACTAAGTATATAATAGTAGTCGTGATAAAATGATTACAATTACGCATTATAATGTATCATATTACGAAACGTCTGGTGCTAAACTTTAACCTTAAATAGTTGACAAGAGATGTGATTGTAATTTTCGAGATAACATGTCTGTTTTATTAGTTAAAAAAGGGAATTAAAAATGTATAATTCAACGGGAACTCTTTCTCCTCAAGACATTTTAGCGGAAGTTAGGAAATTTATTTCCGGAGCAGTTAGACCAACTCACAGTACCAGCACTCTCGATGTCACTCGAACAGCATTATCTCTCCTCCGAAATGTACCCGCGACCAGAGACGCAGTGCTCGAGTACTTTTGCAATGTGTTTTTCGTTGCAGTTACTAAACACGTCCGTCAGATTGAAGTAAGTTCATCAAAAATGAAGTTCCAGTTTGTTTATCTATCAACTATGTTACTAAATTTTCTTAGACGAATCAAAACCTGGTTATATGTGAAGAGTCTATTATAGCAGAAATACATGCCGTTCTGAGTGGTTTTATTAATGGAAATCCAGAAGCATGGGCTCCAATCATCTCTGCGTGGTCATTGGAATTGTTAGGTGCACAATAATCAAAGTATTCTTACTGAGCTGTAATTTAGTTTATATAATAATGAATTAACACTACAGGTAAACTGTCCTCTGATTACGCAAAGCGCGGTAATCTGCCTGTTAATGCTGGAATCAATGATTTTCTTCAACAATGGATGTCCTGCCGTGCTACTCGTACGCTAATTGATATCACAGCTCAGTGTCTGCAATGCCTCATGCATTCCGATACAGAATCGTGCATTAAAGCATTGCTAGACACTAGTGTTCTGCACAGTCCTCATTTTGATTGGGTAGTTGCCCACGTTGGCAGTTGTTTTCCAAATACCGTTATTACCAGGGTACTGTCTTGCGGCCTGAAGGATTTTTGTTCCATGGGCTACGAACATAATGTGAAGAATCCTAAATTGAATTCAGTAGTGGGGATTCTGGGACACTTAGCCGGCAGTCACTTTCAAGACATTAGAACAGCATTACTAGATTTATTTAAATGGAGTTTAAACGAAGAAACGAATATGGATGAAGACATGAAAAAGCAGAAATTAGCTACCGTTCCGTTTCTCTTAAATCTGGCCTCTTTGTCGCAAACTCTTCTAAAAGCGATAACAAGCGACGTGTTACAAACTCTGAAGCCAGATATAATTCCTCGACTGGCTTTATTTGCAACAGATTGGTGCAAATACTTCGATAATCAACCAAAAGCTCTAATAGACTTGACTGTACATTTAGTTTTAGGATGCGAGCAAGGAGCGTCACAAATAATAAATATATTGCTAGATACTGCTTTGAATACAAGCAACGTTGGCTATCACAGCGTAAACGCAACGCAAAGTGTAAAAAGCGTATGTAGCGAAATCTTGGAATTGGTATTGCAAGAGATCGATCTCCTTTTAAGGACACATGGGCCACAGTCTGCAAATATTGCTTTGCTGAGCTCTATTAAACAAGAGTTACCAGTAATATTGCCACTACTTTTAAATGAAAACCCGTTGCGGGTTCAAACAGCCGTTCGATTATTATGCTTCCTGGGAAGTCAAAGTCCTAACATATTGATATCCGCTGCCTCGTATATGTTGGCCAAGTCGGTAACAAACTTCCACCTAGCAGCTTTAATACGTCTCGTTTGTAACAATGTTGTTCTCTTTCCATCTAACAAGTCTGAAACCAAAAATATATTAGCCAGTCACGGATACTTCACTCAAGTAATAGAACAAGCGCTCAGAGAAATAAATTATAAAAACGTTTTGGAGAAACTGGAAAGGAGGCAATTTTTTCAAAATTTAACCACGTTATTGAAGTAAATAACAGTGTTATGTCTTGGTAAATTTAAAAGTAATCGATTCATTTACTTACGAAGTAACGGATCCTAAAAATTTGTACAGGTGGGAGAAATCTAATAAAGCATCCATCTTCCGGTCGAAGATGATCACGCAAGCAATAAATTCGAATTTACACCAGATTTCGTCTTTGTTAACAAAAACATATGATTTCGATCTAGCCAATGATATCGTGAAAATGTTGGACTTATTCAGTGCACCTGAGCAAAATAATTTCCTACCTAATGTGGAGCTTACCCTGAAGTTAACCAGAGCTGTGATTCAATATTTCTTTTTGTGTATAGCTGAGGAAGGTATGTAGGTCGTAGAAAATATTCAACCGTAATACGAACAAATTCTGACCGAAACATTTGTAATTAGATATAACGAAGAAACAACAAGGTGTAAAAATGATTTGTCATTTGTTAAAAAATTACACCTGTTACTCTCCTTGCGCTAGAGTTTTGGCGTTGAGGGAGATCCTGGGACATAGCATTAACAATGATCCCGCCAAATATTTCGGAGCTAAAGAAAAATTCGAACCGAAGTTCGAGGAAATGTTGCTTTTGCATCAAAATCACAAACAGGTACGATAATGCAGCAGACAAATTTTTCTACGAATCGAGCTCAATTTAATTTCACTTGTATTTAGGTCACCAGTACCATGTTGGCTCAAAAACATTCTTCGGTATTTCATGCCGGTGTGATTGGTCATGGTCCACGAAAGCCACCACCTGAAAACACAGTTGATAAAGAAACTATTAATCTGAATAAAATGTTACTGATGGACGTGATAAAGGTACCATCTTTCAAGATAGAAGGTTGAACGGTCCGTTAAGAATTTCTCTTGCAGGCCTGTTGCAGCACTAAGGGGTTGGAACGATATCCTGTGAACCTGGATGCCTTGACTGTAGTTAGTTTACTTTTGGTCGAATTAGTTTCGCCTGATGTCATGTATAATGGACTACCGTGGCCTGATGAAGAATTTACAAAGGTATATTATACCTCTATGCTGATTAATATAAAGAAACTTGAACACCGTTATTCGCGCGACAATAAAGATGTCAGCATTCAAGATTCAAATACCATAATAGACTTAATAATGTTGAACAGATTAGTAATAATCGTTATGCGCTTCTGATGATCGCTAGGTGACCATAGAAAGAGATTTACAAATTCGGAGGACATTTAGGGATGTGCCGTTATTATGGACACTATTAGAGTTAACAGCCTGGTACAGGCCTGCTTTGGCTTATTGTTCGGTTTTATTAAGGGGTATTGCCGCCACTGTGATGGCCAATTGGAACACGGATGAAGGTGTTTCTCTAGTTAGTGTCATGGCGCTTGGTCAATTACTACCGCCACCATTGGCAAGCATAAGAGACATTTTGCCCGTTTTAGAACAATACCAGGTATTTTTTCACGTACTAAAAACACGTTTATATAAAATTTTGAATTGTAATAATATCTTTCATTATATATAGATAAATACCATTATGAAGGAGTGTGTGTGGGCTTACATGCGTGAGAACGTCCCATCGCCAGCCTTATTCACTCGCAGCGAAGGTGCAAACATCGCTTGGAGAGATACAGACACGTCCATGCCAAATGTGCGGTTTACAGAAACGCTTCGATTAGTTTTGTTAGCTAATATTCATACAATGGGCCCGCTTTACGCTACCCTATTTTATAATGACAATAAATAGGTGAAAAAGGAAACGTTTTAATTTCTGAGTCCGTTCGTAATAGTTCCTCAATTGACGATTGAATCCAATATTGGCCTCATCATTTACTGGTCGTGGAGTTTAGACGTTAGGTTTTCGCATTCATCGTCTTCGAGTCGCATTGAGCATCGTTTGGGACACGTTATTTTTTAATAACAATAGTACGTACAAAATAAAGGGCACCATTCATATAGTATATAAAATAAGAAATTCCATTTTTTTGATGTACAACTAATATACAGTTTATGAGACGTCGTATAAATATTATGTGGTATTCTTATACTTAGAAACTTCATGCATGCTCGAATCGTACAGCTTTTGCCGCTTTGGAACAGAGCACGGGAATAGAAGCAGAGAAAACAGAAACCGTAAAAGTTTTACTTTTTATAAAAGCACATCCTCCTAGATACATACAAGAAAACAATCAATTCATTGAGTTTGTATCGCAATCGGTATAGGAATGATGGTACGATGAGCGAACACCTGTTTGAGTACGTCGTACGAATACCCTAGGTGGGTACTTCGTCCTCATGAAAATGATTACATATATATATTATGCAATGATTCAATTCGTATATAAACATTTTTTTCAATCACCTGAATCGCGCCGTTTAAAATTCAGAG